TTCAGCAGATTCCTACTGAATTGGCCAAAATTCCAGCCATGATTGGCCCGGTCAGTAACACTCAGCCTGTTAAAACCAACTGATTTCATATTATTTATTATAAAGTGCCAGATGTCAGAATACCATATATACCAATACTACACTTTTTAGCACAGATGGGGGAAATCAAACTATTTCCCTCATTCAGCCTGCGAGACTAGAAAGAAATCTAGCCTAATATCTTTCTTTTACAGGTACTTATTAAAACGTTAATCTATAGGCTGTTGTCATAAGAGATTTCAACACATCCAAACCTAAACACCCATTTCACTCTCACAAATCCATGAACAGAAAGACCATAGAGTTTTGGGAGCTATAACACCAGAGGACTGATCCTTAAAATTCACACGCCACATGAATCTGTAGGGAACATGGCAGCATCATCAAATAATATCTTAAGACCTCTTTCATAGCCAAGCTTCCACATGTGATCTAAAGCCCGGGCAGAAAATAATCACATTCTAACAGCTATTAGAAGAGATTTGGTTGTTTCACATCATTAACCCCTTCATGACTGAGGCCTTTTTTTTTCATTTTTTGTACCCATGTTATATTCCTCCCTTCTTCGGGACGCAGAAGCGATCTGGCGACAGGTAAGTCGCCAGGATCGCTTCTGTTGTAAAGCCGACAGTCGGCTCTACAAGTTTAAACAGAGTCCCGGCGGCAAAAGTCACCGGGAGTCTGTTTAAACAGCCCCGATGCTGGCGACGTACACTGTACGTCGTCAGTCACGAAGGGGTTAAACTGCATGGACTGGATTGTATGTTAGCAAACATTGAGTAGCACTACTAAGGAAGCAAAGATTGCATTAGTGATGAACAAGTACAGCTGCCTCCATGTAATGTATATTTACAAACTACATACAAAATCAAGGTTTAACATAAAGTGACACAATAAGATAATTCAATAAGTCTGTCACTTTCATATGCATATTTAAAATGATAACATTAAAGCCAAACTCTGGGGGGAAAAAAATGATAATTTACACACTACATTACAAAGCTGTATGTCATGTGTGGAGGATTGCTGCAAAGGATAAACTCTTACCTTACAGCTTGCCATCTCCTACACGTCAGTCTTGGTGCTGCAGGGACTGAGGGATGTGACTCGAGCAGTGAAGTGCTCCAGTCACATCGCAGCTCCTCCTTGCTCCTTGCCCATTCACACAATGCCTTATATTTGTCCTCAAAGAATACAAAGCTTACTGTGATTGGAGGAGCAGAGGAGGGGTGAGGACGTGAAATCATCTCTCCTCCTCCAATCACAGAACGCCTTGCATTAAATAAAAACAGGCAAGTAGCAAGGAGGAGTGGGGATGCAACCACAGCACTTCACTGGTCTAATCGCATCCCTCATTCCCCTCAGCACTCAAAATACTGGCATTGTGTGTAGGAGATGGCATGCAGCAAGGGAAGATGGTTATCCTTTGCAGCAGCCCTCCTCCACATGTGACATGCAGCTTTTTAATGTAATGTGTAACGTTTAATTTTTCTCCAGAGTTTGGCTTTAAGAGAGTAATGTTCTTTTAAACAGGGCTCCGCTTCAAGGGAATCTGTCACCAAGCTAAAACTGAAAACTAGAATCTTACACAGTGCCAGCTTCAAGAAAACAGGTATTTTAAAAGTGTATTTCCACTCTTGCAGCCTAAGTGAGGAAACACCTATTGTATATTTATTACATTATGAGGGGAATTTACCAAAAGTGGAGCAGATGTGCATAAATCAGCTTCTCTCTTTCATTTTCAAATCTTAACAGAACAAACTGAAGAGAAACTGATTGGTTGCCATGCACATCTGCTCCAGTTTTGATAAATTCCCCCCTATGTCTTTAATCACATTACATAACTTGGGGGGGACCTGCTGCTTACATTTTTAAGTGCTTTTGACTTGGTTAAAAATTGTACATGCGCCCCCCCCCCCTCCCCCCATTGAATGCTGAGGGGGATGTAGAGTTGATGCTTATCATAATGAACCCTACCTGCTGTACTGTGCTGGCAGACCCCATCAGTTATAAACTAGATTTCATCAATGTCTATCCTAATAAAGGATTTAAAGATCCTAAGGCTTGGATTCTGCATTGTATGTTAATGAGGGGAAACTGACCGTCCCCATTTGTCCCTCTGAAATAACGCACAGCTGTTTATTGATAATTCACACACCCGGTGCACTGTGTAAATGATCATTCTGCTTGGAGTGTGGCTCTAAGTAAAAACATTACTTCTGAAATATAAAAATGGCTCAGTAACCACACCTCCAAAAAAAGAATACCTCGTTAGCTTACCCTCTGTTAAGTTGTTTTATCTCTGCAGGGTTCTGTCTTCAGTTTAGATTCATTGATTCTGCCAAGGGACTTCGTGTCCTAGGGTGACAATTTGGAATAAGCTTGGGTTTGGTTCAAATTTGAGTTTGTCTAAACCTGAAACTAAGCTGCTCGTGCCGGGCCCAAACATCAGCGGCCAAAGCATATTCCACCCCGCAGCTTACCATAAACAAAAGGAGCAGGTTGTCGATCACATCATTAACCTATCACCAGCCACATTGACCAAATATAGACACGTGGCCATATAAGGTCAATGCTGTCAAGTATCCGGCCCCTTTTTTTTTTACGCAGCTGCGGGGCAGGGAATGCCCTGGTTGCAGATGATTGGGCCGGCATACGGCATCAACAGCTGAGTTCGGAATTTGGACAAACTCAAGCTCAAACCTGAGCTGATTGGTGACAAAACGCAGAGTCTGTGCCTCTGCAGAAGCAGTACAGCTGCCTCCAGTTTATTTGATTAAGCTTTGAAAATGAGAGAAGCTGATTGGTTACAATGGGCACTTGCTCCAGTTTTGATAAATGCCCCCCATAACGATTTGGGGTTTTCAGTAATCTAGTTAGAAAAACGCAGATTGTAACGTGTGCAAGAAATGTAAACCTTGCTTCAATAGCAAAGTGATAAAATGTCTATTTCTGGACATGATATCCAAAGCTCCTAATACAAGGTACAAAGCCGACATCAGATCGAGGGATTTAATTAGATTTTTGTCAAGGGTTTGCGACTCTTTAAAAACACAGCTTGTGGGTTCTGTACCACCCAGCACTATACCTTGCAGCCGCCCGTGCTTCCGTGTTCCCCCAGTTTTCTTTTGGGTTTGGCGTCTTCAAGTGATAATAAAGTCAAAATGGATTTAAAACTATTTCAAACGCTGATTAAATCCCTTACAATGGATGCTGCTTCTTCATGTTTAAACGTTTTCGTTTTCTGCAGAAACAGCTGGTCCCCTGAGCACCAATATCCTGTTTTAGGGTGGCTGCTTTCCCTTGTAGGGTCCTATGGAGCCACCCTTGTGTGTGCTAGTAAGCTGTGTCCCTCTCCATAAACACACAGTTACAGCAAGGCAAGTCACTCCCCTTCGCCTTGCTCCTCCCTCATCTCCAAGCTAGATGGACAGCTGCTGGAGTCTGCTCTGTACTTTGTGATCTTGTATTGGACAGGAAGTTCAGAGCTGAGCTGAGAGAGTTGGAGCTGTTCAGAAACATGATTGTAAGTGCTTAGTCAAAAATGTAAAGAAATACCTTTACTGGGCAATGTATATTTGTTTGATCTAGATTCCTATTGGGAAAAAGGATTGAGGAGTTTAATACTATTTTCAACTTTTTGATTGGCCCGATGACCACACATGCGAGTGACTTCATCTCGGCACAGGACCTTGCCGTGATTGTGCGCAGAGCTTAGCATGCGCGGCTCAGTGCACACGTATGCTGTCAAACAGGGAGGTGCAATTATACAGAGTCTCTTCTGTCATAGAAACCCCACCGGTCAGTGTAATACTACTTCCACTTTAATACATCACACAGTAACACGTGAAAAAAAAACAAGCATTAGCGCAACACACAGTAGAAGAGCGCGAAGCCGGCCTCAGCGTTTAATCATTAACCTGTTATACAGGAGAATGGAAAATACAGCAAGCTGCCCATAAGCCAGGCTCAGGCACTGCATGTCATGTCTGGGGGTGAGATCCCTGTGTGTGTGTGTGTGTCTGAGCAGATGAGTCTGTGTCTCCCCTGCACAGAAATGGATATACGCAGGCAGCAGTGACAGGGCTGAGACGTGGGGTGTGCAGCTGTCATATGCCGGGCCTGCTCTCCTGCCCTCCACACGTATACGGAGTGAAAGGTGAGCACTGCAGTCCCCGCTCCTTCCCCCCAATGCTGCCGGCCACAATTTACCTTTGAATTTGAGCTCGTGAGGCGGGTCGAGGACCAGGATCTGCTCGTGTTTGGACATGGTGGCCCCGCCGGCTGCACACATTCACCTCACAGCTGGGACGAGGCGGGGAAGCAAAGGCGACAAGAGGCCTCCAGCCCAAGGCAAGCACAAAATGACACCGGGGAAGATGCTAGATCGGAGTGGTTTGAAGGAGGAGGTGACGTCACGGCCATGTGACTGCACCATGTGACCCCCCTGACATCCCAGTCATGTGACCGAGCCATGTACGCTCCCGATTGGAGAGGCAAAAGTAAGCGGTGAGGTTGCAAAGGAAAGGGAGGTAGAAGACTCAGTAGCGGGATGAGGAAATGAGGAGCTTGGGCTGTATGGAGCTTCGTTAGGGACTAGGTGCTCTCAGCTCGGTGCGTCTACCTATAAGGAGTGCTGGGCTGTCCCCGGAAGTGTGAGATTGTGGCAGCGCCTTACAGGATGGGGTGACACTAGAGAATGAGGGCTCAGCTCCGTGTCAGGCTTTTGTTAAAGTGATAATAAAGGGGACCTACAAAAAAGGAATGACAGAATGGAATGCCCATAGACTTATTAAAGTCACAATGTTTTAAGTTAGTTTAATCACTTACAATGGATGCTGCTTCTAAAATTGTTTAGTTACCTGCAGAATCAGTTGGTCCCCTGTGCACTGGCCCTGATATCCTATTTTAGGGTGACCCCTTTCCCTTGCATGGTCCTATGGAGCCACCCTTGTGTGTTCTAGTAAGCTGTGTGTGCACGGCAATCCACTCCCAGGTTCCCTACTCATCTCTTCTATTTGTAGATGGACAGCTGCTGGAGACTGTGCTCTCCATTGTGATATTGTACTGGACAGGAAGTTCAGGGAAGTCGAGCTAAGAGAATTGGAAGCAGATGTTTGGAAACATGATGACTGTAAGTGATTGGGCAAAAATGTAAATAAATACTTTGCTGAGCAATGTATCATTGTTTGATCTGGAAGTATTTATTATTATGCAGGATTTATATAGCGCCAACAGTTTGCGCAGCGTTTTACAATATAAGGAAGACATTACAACAGAATTCAAGACAAGATGGTAAGGAGGGCCCTGCCCCTGAGGGCTTACAATCTAAAAGATTTATGAGAAAACATTACATTTTTTAACAGCCGCCAATTGTAAAAGGACGGACGGCAAGTTTCCATTGGCGGGGGCGCCGTAAATGAACTTTTTTTTTTCTGCTCGCGCGCGCCCCCTAGCTCGTGCGCGCCCCCTAGCTCGTGCGCAACGTCTGTTACACATAGAAGCGATCGGCGGCTCTATAGCCATCCCATCGCTTGTATGTGCTGCCCTGGGTGCCCCGCCCCCTCCTGCAGTGCCACTGCCGCCTCCCCATCCTGCACCCTCAATTTCAATCCCAGGCTCCACTGTCCCCTCTGCAGCCCTGGACCGGCTCAGGAGGAGGATGGGAGGGCGTTCAGCATCTTCCTCTTTGCTGATCTCCCTCCGACGTCTGAATGTGAAAGTGGTGTGTATTACATCACTTCCGCATTCAGATGTCATTTCTCTCGCTACTTTAGCCTGGAAAGAATAAGCCGGTGCAGCAGAGCTCTGTTTCTTTGGAGGTCCCCAGGTGACATTAGGCGTCTTAGAGAGCCCTAATGTCTCCATAAAGTGGACCTGTCAGTGTGCCTGTGCTATCACATAGGGGGATTGTTAGTCCCCTATGTGATAACATTAAGTGTAATAAGAAATTAAAAGTCACATGTAAAAAAAAACCTCAAAAATGTTTAAGTACCCCACCCCCACGTATACACACATATAAACGTAAATACACGTCAGGTGCGCCAACGCACGAAAACGACAATTACGCCGCACATGTTACATATTGCCCCGAACGTCGCAGTGAGAGCAATAATTCTACGGCTATCAATCACTGATAACACTAAACTGATGAGTGGTAAAAGCGTCGCCTATAGCCAATTTTAGGTACTGTCGTTTTTTGAGGTTTTTGCGGGTGCGTGCAATTTTAAGGCTTGACATGTTTGGTGCTTATTTACCCTATACCGATTAGTTACCCAATTATTCTTTCAACTAATCGATTGGTTGTATAAAAAAAACTTATCTCTCTTCAACCAACTAATCGATGATGAGAATAGTGGCCAACTATTCTAATTATCGATTTAGTAGATCCGTTGTTGCAGCTCTAATTTACCTGCCGTGACCCCATCTTTTATATTTTACCAAAAAATTGGGTAATAATAAATGTTTCGTAATTTAATATAGGGAAAACAGTTTTTTTTCTAAAAAATTTCGTTAATTTTTCCTTAATATAGTAAAAAAATAAAAACCCCAGTGGTGATTAAATACCACCAAAAGAAAGCTATGTATGTTCCTAAAAAAAGTGTATCAAATTTATTTCAGTACAGCGTTGCATGACGGAATAAATGTCAGTCAAAGTACTGCAGCGCTGAATACTGAAAAATGGCCTGGACAGGACGGGGGTTTAACACCCCAGTCAGCAGGTGGTTAATACTGCTTAAAAGAGGAACTTCAATGGCTGCCCCACTTTTCCCCCCTCTTACCTTTTTTCACTGTGTTATGCACAAAAAAATACACGCCCAGTGGTGTTCTGTAGGGATCTGGCTCTACACAGCCAGTCCCGTGCCACCATCTCCTTCTCTGATATCATTAGGGGCCAGCTCCAAGAACCCGGGGAGACACCCAGCCCCCTGACGATGAACTGTAGAATACCCCTGATGCCTACTGGTATGTATGATGTGGATACCTCCATGAGGCTCTGGGCATTGAATACCTCATTCACGCAAGTATTTAAGAAGTGATCCCCCCAAACAAAAGGTGCTTAAAACAATAAATAAAAAACATTTGATTGTTAAGAAGGAGGAATGGAAAAAAAAGTGGGTGGGAAGGGCGAAGGTATGCTGTAGGGACTACACTAGGTTAGCATCAGGTCAAGGTATTAGGGCAGTGTTGGTCAACTTTTGTGCGACAGTGGGCCTCAAGTGTGGCCTCTGACATCTCTAAAGGGCCACACATAATATTCAGTGAATGTAATGCTACAGAAAACTGATTTTGCAGCTACCTGCTGATACTTGGAGCAGAGTAGCAGATTTCACGGTTCACGCACAGGTAGGTCAGCACACTAAGGGGAAGGAGAGGCAACAGAACAAGTTCTCCATTTTGTTATCCCGAACTGGAAATAGCCATACCAGGGAGGAGCTAACTTGGAGGCAGAAGGAAGAAACAGGGACATTGCAAAACAAAGAGAAATGGGTGAAGAACCTTTTAGACAGGGTTCTCACTCAACCCGAGATAGATGTCCTTGCTAAGGGGTTGAATTTCACAATCACACCCAGAACCATTCCAGTAGTAGATATTATCTCAGCCACTGAGGCCTCGATCCACAGTAATAAAGTGCCACAGGGTGAGGCTGAACAACTTCACCTAAAAGTGTCCACAGCCCTGGCCTTTGCCACATTACCTCCACCAAAGGATATAATGATTTCAGAAGAAAGGAGGGCGGTTACATCCCTGAAGAAGGACAAGAGTATCACCATCCTGCCTGCTGATAAAGGAAGAGGCACAGTTGTACTTAATTCATCTGACTACGATGATAAGCCCTAAGAAGACCCAACCATTGGTTACAAGAAGAATGTTATAGATCTACTACAACAGCTGGAAAAGGACAAAGCCATTGATCGGGCTATGTATCATCGCCTCTAACCTGGTGAAGCCCCTCCGTGTATACATGAACTTCCTAAGATACACAAGGATGGGACCCCTGTCAGGCCAATTGTCAGCAGCATAAACTCTGTTACTTATAACGTGGCAAAACACTTAACCTAGGGTTCTTTCCCATTTGGTTGGAAATACACAACATCACATACAGAACTCTCAGGTTTTCACAATCAAAATCCAGAACTTAATATTGGGCACAGAGGAAACAATGGTATCTTATGTTACATTCTTCTTCTACTGCATACCCATCATAGAGGAAATTGGAACAGTGAGAAAACGGTTGTTACTAGACAACACCCAAGGCAGCAGAGCAGAACTTAACCCAGAACAAGTGTGTGCCTTATTGGACCTTTCCCTAAGTACCACCTACAGTATTTCAAGTACAAGGACAAGTTCTACAGGCAAAAACATGGCTGCGCCATGAGATCGCCAGTTTCACCCATGTGGCGGACCTGTACATGGAGGAAGTAGAAAGCAAGGCCCTGACCACTTTCAAGGGAATTACACCCAGTCATTGGTTCAGATCTGTGGATGACACTTGGGTTAAAATTCACAAACAAGAGTTAGAGGCTTTCACTGACCACATCAGCTCAGTGGATCATAATCACAGGTCTGCTCATGTGAAAATGAAAGTACCCGCCATGGAAATTGTTACCTTTTTCAATATATTTTTACAGACAAATATTCGTTCTTCCATAAAACTGTATCCTCAGATAAAGGTGATATAGTGAAATAAAATAAGCCATTTCTTCTGTTTGAGCAATTCCTTGGTGGATTTACTAGTGTGCTTCAGATCATTATCATTTTGAAAGATCTATCTGTAGTTCAGCTACAACTTTTGGACAGATGGCCTCACATTTTCATCAAGCTCACTTTGATATGATGCAGAATTTATAGTCGGCGTGATGACTGCAAGCTGCAAAGGCCCTTAGCAGCAAGGCACCCCAATCCATAACATATCCACCACCGTGCTTCACAATTAGTATGAAGTTCTTCTATTGAATTGCCTTCATAGGTTTGTGCCAAACATATATACTGTTATCGTGAGCAAATAACTCTTTCTTTGATCCATCAGTCCATAGTACATTGTTCTAGAAGATCTGGCCTTCGTGTTCAATGGCAAACTGTAGTCTTGCTTACATTTTCTTTTGGACAGCAAAGGCTTTTTCTTGGCAAACCTCACATGTAAGTTAAATTGGTGCAATCTTTCTGATTGTGGATCCATTTAGTTTGACACCAACTGTTGCATGAGTTACCTGCAGATTTGTTGGGCCAGGCAGTCCTAGACAAATTAGCAGTCATTTAAAGTGATATTAAAGTCCAAGTATTTAAGCAATTTCAAATGCTGATGAAATCACTTACAATGGAGGCTGCTCCTTGATGTTTAAACGTTTTAGTTTCCTGCAGAATCAGCTAGTCCCCTGAGCACTGGACCTGATATCCTGTTTTAGGGTGGCTCCTTTCCCTATAGAGCCACCCTTGTGTGTGCTAGTAAACTGTTTGTCT